GAACTAATAAAACGCATCTAAAAACACAATAACTCACCAAATCAAAATCACATAAACAAACAAACATCCACCATACCCAGCTCCCTTAGTTCTCCTCCCCAATCCCATCGGCATCTATTCCAAATCTCAAAATTCCCAAATTCTATATAAGCAACCCCTAAAACCCCCCTCTTGGGTTGCACAGACCACCTTCGCCCCTTTCGGAAACACATTAAATGGCCTGGCCGGGCCCGTGTGCGAAATACGCATCAGTCGGAAAGCGCACGTTAAATCTCCAAAGTAAGTAAGTAAGTAAGTAAGTCCAAGGTTCAATCAATGTAAGCGTTGATCACAGCTGGACTAGTTTGCATTGCCTCATTATTAGTAGGTCACAACTGTGTGTTGGGGATCCTATTCAAGCTCTATTCACACATAACATCCATTGTGATAATGGAAAGTTTCATCATGCAATAAGCGTTGTGCATGCAAGTCATTGGTTCAATGCGCAGAATAACATATAATCAGGAATTAGGGAGGGCGTCGTTTTAAAGAGGTGCCCTCGCAACGTTTCATTATCTGTTGTTGAACAAATTCTGACTTGGGTCCATGGGTGGCCCAGTCGCCTAAGGCACAGCAATTCACTGTGCAGAGCTTGGCCCATTGAAAACCAATGATTGTGAGTTCGAATCCAGGTTCGCCCCGATTAGCTTTCTAGGTTTGTCAGCGCCACACACGTGCTTGTGGGTTTCACCAAGGTGGTAAACGTGTAAGATCTGCATCACTTCGGGCTTTCCTCCAACATCTAGCTGACACGCCGTGATATAATTCAATATCAATACTGTTGAAAACGGCGTTAAACCCAACACACTGACTCACACAAATCCTGACTTCAAATTTGAGGTGTCCTGTGTCGGGATTACATAGCTGGGTCAATGTTCGATGTTCAGTGTTTCATGATATATGGCAAGCCTATGACCAGGTAGAGTACCAGCTCCTGGCGTTATTGTACCGACAGTAGACCTCGTCTCATGCAGCCACCGTATTTCACGTGCATATATATAGTGTACCCTATATTGCCAAGTATGTACTTGCCGTTTTGTCTTAAAGCCCCACCCCGACTATAAATAGCCCGCAAGGTGGCGCTGTTTCAGTTTCGAACAGTCACTGACAATGTAAACACAACCGAGTGCCGGGAGAAGGTTTTTGAAACCCGTACGCAAACAAGATCACCATTGACCGTCAAACTTTGTATCAACTTGAATGACATACCCTGGATACCACAAATGGCTCCATATCTATATATATGTCAATACATCTTCTGTAGCTTTATCATAAAAATTCGTATCTCTCGATCATGTTTGGCGTCTGCATCAATCACAGTGGGCGGAACTTATTTACGGTTGCACATGGTCATGTTGGTTGGTTGGTTGTTTTACGCCGCGCTCAATAATATTCCAGCTATATGACGGCGGTCTGTAAATAATCGAGTCTTGACCAGACAATCCAGTGATTGAAATCATGCGCATCGATCCACGCAATTGGGATCGATGACATGCTTCAACCAAGTCAGCGAGCCTGACAACCCGATCCCGTTAGTCGCCTCTTACATCAAGCATAGTCGCCAGCATGGGTTGCTGACGACACATTGTGTACTTGTGACACATTCAATGCTTTTGTGGACAGAGTGTATTGTGTTGTATATTTTCACGGCAGAACAGCAGCAGAACAACAGTTGGTTAATGTAACAGTAACGATACATAAATACGAAATTGAAAACAAGATTCTCTCGGTTTAATCCGAAAATTACAGATATTTGTTTAGTTTTGGTTATTTGCATTCAACAGTTAGATTCTAGAATTATACCACACAATAACCAGATTATATTTATAAAACTTATATTATTACACAGATTTTTCAACTTGTATGTGGGAAGGGACCTAATTTGAAGCATCAGAAGTTGCGCAAATATTTCTTAGCTTGACTAAAATATGAATATGTCACGTGTATCAACATAACATTGCACACAAGCAACTGATAAATATGTAACGGAACATACTAGATATTTCGACCTACATTATGCCTATCTAGATAATATTGTACTTACGATAAACGAAAACTCCAATGAACACATATTCCAAGACAACTTTAATTATGGATTTCCTTTTCTTTCACAGAATTTTCACATACAAAACTGAGTTTGATCATTAGATCCACACTTGTCCCATGTATTTGTTGCTCGGGGGACAAGCACACGTTTTAAAATACAATCTGGGATCCCTTTCCCGTTTTGTCCACACCAATCCTTCATCTGCTGCAACGTTGAATATCCGTTTCTGCAAGTCCGAGCATCTACGATCCCTCCAAACACTTCGTTTATTTAGCTAAGTTTTCGAATCGACGAATTTCTGCAACATGGTGGCCGCACCATTCCCTTACTGCAATTGCCTTTGCTTTGTCATGCATGGTTGACAAAAGAAGTGTGAACATACATATTAGACTTCACCTGGTTCCACAATGAAATATTGCTGTGACACTGATTCACTAATCCCAAGAATCGGCACATAATTTGTCAAAGTTTCTGTTGTATTTGCTAGGGCGGGAAGACAGGCGTCATCTTGTCGATTTGAGTTGACGATCGGAATTATGTTATTTTGAATTGGAACTCTCTATACGATAAAGCCACCAATGTCATAATCGAAATGACCAAAGGCTCCATCGAACAACTCTCCGTCAAATTAAGCTTCACATAAAAAATGTTTTGTTGCTCATATTGACAAGCGAACTTGCAACGTACTTGACAGTTGTAAGTAGCATGGATGCGCTCATGGGGCGTGGTTGCCAAGAGATCGCGTGGTCAGAAAGGTAGCGGGGGGACTAAAAGTTTTAGAAAGTAATAAAAGAAATCCGCAGTGCAATTAAAAAGTACCAGGATATTTTTAAATAATAGTATTCACGAAAACTTTCTTTTCTTAAAATGCAAATTAATATATTCATTCACCCAAAGGTCGTAATCCTGATCACGGGGTTGGTATTTGGAAGGAATCTTGTGATGACGCCGTGAATGAGGCTGTGTGTATTACATTGTTGAAATCAACTGACCAGGAAGATTGTCGAGGCATTGACATTATAAGAGGTGCTCGTCATGGATGGAGAAAAAATGCTTCTGATCCCATGAGAGAAACATTGTTGCTTTGAGCTTCGAGACCAAACATATGTTCATGCTGAAGTAGTTTACAAGAAAGGATGATCTGTGTAGCCAGCGACCTGATTAAGCTTGATGAAAATAATGTTAAAATCAATGTTCACGCACATGACAGAATTAACGTGAACAAATATTTATCTGAACATCGTTGCGGAGTATGTGAGACTGTTTGTATTTTATCTCCATTCCGACGTGAACTAATATAAAATTGAATTTTGTGTCTCAATTTTTCCTGCCGCTGTGTAATATTGCGCACTGATCTAATAAAAGAAATGCCACTAGATATACCATTTCATCGTCACAAAAGAACCAGGTCAACTTTATCTTTCTTCAGTTGTTTATTAAAAATTGATTCCTGAAGCAAAGCGATACATAATAAATTGATTCATAGACTAGATTCTTGTACCAAGTGTTTTAACGTTTATTTTTAAAAAATGTCATGAAATAACTCACACAATTGAAAGGTATTTTTAATAAGTAATATATTTTATTTCGTCCGCCCGCTCCCTTGGTAGTTGAAGCTTGAGGGAAGAAACATATACAAAAAGTATGGATGGCATTATGCAAATGACACTTGGCATGCCAATCAACAGGGAATCTGGGTTTCACGGTTCGAGTGACTTCGGCACGAGGAGCTTCGGTCACAAGTGTGACTTTTCCAAAACACATTGTTACTTGGCAATGAGAACATGTGACGGAAACTTTCATCACTTGAAAATATTTATGACCATTAGCAGGGTTTTTTACGCGCTCGTTGTTTTCCAGATTCCAGATGAAAGCAAGACGAACACAACGAAAAAAAACCTGTTGAAATCACCGATTGCCGTTACATTGTGAGAAATATACAGATATACAGAACACCACAGGTATTACGACTGGTGCCGTGATACATATTATTTTGTTTTTTTGTTCAATTACACTGCTCTTATTCATCACGACAAACGTATTCGTTCTCGTCCACAGAATAGAGAAGAACTATAATTTGTGTGTTGGACTGTGTTGGATAAATCATGGACATTCCACAGTATCATTTTATGAAGATTTGGAAACGACATGGCAGGTAGGTTTTGAAACCCAGGACCTACGCGTTTGTTGAAAAGTCTTGGAATCGTTTGATGGATATTTACTACCATTAAAACTGACGTACTTGTTGTCAAAGGGCCCATGGCGGTGGGTGTTTACATGACGTCACGCGCTTACGCATTAACCAATGAAATTTGTGTTATCATGACGTCATAATGACCTGTCAGATCAGTCGTATAAGCTCCGCCCACTAGCGTGCGGTAGTCACTACCGCAGATGCCCCTTTAACACCATACATCCAAGCTTTATGTACCTGCAACAGACCTGCCTGAGTGTTCGTATGGTCAGTGGATCTTTCCAAAGTTATCATGCAGCACCTGTATCGTGTCTGCAGCAGACCTGCCATGTTCTGGTACAACCGAGGTGGTCAGACATGATCATGACCTTGCAAAGCCAAGGTGTATCTGCAGTGTATGTCCCAGTATATGCCCCATGTTTGTGCAAATTACGTTAAATGATCCCTTAAACTTTTAAGAAGTTCATGCGTTACCCTACATAATACTCATTGGAAGAAGGAACAACTAAAGACAAAAATTATGCATCACCATGACAATTCATTGCTGACCGATGCAAGAGCGATTTAATTGATCGTCTATACAATCTGAAATCGTATTTGACCCGTGAAGATCCGGGGTAGAATAGGTCTTCAGCAACCCATGCTTGTCGTAAGAGACGACTAACGGGATCGGGTGGTCAGCCTCGCTGACTTGGTTGATCCATGTCATCGTATGCCAATTGCATGGATCGATGTTCATGATGTCTGGTCCAGACTCGATTATTTACAGACCGCCGTCATATAGCTGGAATACTGCTGAGTGCGGCGTTAAACAACAAACGCACGAACGAACGAAATCATATTTCACCCTCGTAATAACACAATAAGCCACGCCTTATTACTCTTTTTCAGTCTGACGTCGGTCTACAATGAGTTGTTCCTAACTGTTGACAAGTAGTATTTCCAATGGCGTTGGCACCGTTAATGTAGAAATAGTCTGGTTCTGATCATGCTTCCTCTGTCTCCACATGATCTCAACCTTCTCCTGAAGGAACAGAATCACACTGCTAGCAAGGAACATACTCCCCACAGTGAAGAAGGAAGCAGAGTATTCGCTCGTTGCGTCATATATCCAGCCTGAAACATTGCAGTGTACAATCAATGCAGCGTTATTCAGCTACATCTAGAACAGTGTCATAGCGAGGCCCAGAATGCGTATTTCAAAGGTAATGTGTTTCGGATTCTATCCTTGAAGGAGACAAACCATTGGTCAAATTACGTCCACAGGATGTGACAGGTCTTCGAGGACACAATTGAATTTCTGTGTTTCCTGACATTCATGAAGCTGTGTTAAGTAGTGTTTGATATACTGGGTTCGTTTTCCCGCATAGGTATATCGCGCAATGCCCATTTCCAGCGGCACCTGACGTGATATGACATGAATATTGTCGAATGTGACCCCAAACCACGCTCACTCATTTGTATTGTGCTCGCACCAAGCTACCCTAACGCCAAAGATGATCTCATATTAACATACCTGTCATAGGTGTTCCTATCAGAGTAGACACCCCTTGAGACAGCAAAAGGATACCATATGACTTGCTGAAGTTTTCTACTCCAACAACGTCCACAAGAACAACATTTCTGGTACCGAAGAACACCCCTGTACAGAGGAAAGGGTAGCACTGGAAATATGTTCTAATCTACACATGCATATATTGAATAGAAACTGATTCTAGGTATACGCAAAATGAAACATGAAGTGAATATTGTTTTAGGCCACCATCAGAAATATTCACGTTATGTCTCCGTTGTCTGAAAATGTTCATATCTTTGTGAGGCAAACTAGTGATCGATAGCATGCTGTTTGCCTCTCACACCCGATACAAGTCCCTTGTACTTGGCTGTGTCATACCAAAAATCGTTAAAATAGGGTACTTGTTGCTCTGCCTAGCGCTCGACTTGAAGGGAATAAATTAACAAGAATTGGTTGGCTCCTTTTCTGCACATTGTGTCTATGTGGGGTATCCATGTCAAACTGTGGCAAGGTATCACAGTGGCCTGTCACTAAAACCGTCATTACCAATACAAGGAAAAGGACTCACACATGCACGTTTCTGTATAAGTGCAATCATATTGAACGTAATGTTACACCTACCTTTGTAAATAGCTTGTGTACAGCTTGAAAGCCTCGGCTGATCATGGCACTGATGCGCGAATAAAATCCTATTTTCCAATTAATAATTTGTTTCTAAATTGTCATGAGGGCCCCTTCATAACACTTACCAATAAAAACTCCAAACACCACAGCGAATCCCACCAACATCGGGAATGTTGTTAGGAACGGCGTGGCAATGGCACATATGCCGCACATCATCACGGCACTTGCAAGCAGATGGCGGTTGTTCACCAATTTGAAATCTCCCAACCAGCCAAAGAATAATTTTCCAACAACACTTGCAATACCAATGATAGGCAACAGCCAACTTATCTCAGTCTCTTTGATCTTCAGATCTGTAGCCCTCTTCGGTAGATGAGTGTAGGGGGTATATACCGCAATCATTGCTAAGCAGTTAGACATCAAGAAAAAGCAAAACTGAATATTCCCGACAAGTTTCGTAAAGTCATTCTGACAACAGCTCCTCCGAAGGCCAGATTTAGGTCTGACAGCTATATCTGAATATAGAAGTGCACTTTCTGGTTATTGGCATAATGATTGCAGAATTTTGCAACTGCTTTGTACAATATTTAAGTTATAGTACAGTGTGTCGTCTTAATGTGGGCGGAAAGGAAGTTCAACACAAGACGATGGGCGTTAATGTATTTGGTTTCGGGATCTCCACATGCACAGGTATGAGGCTTACAGGTCTGAAACCATGGTCAGGATGCATCATTAATTCCAACCCCAAATAAGTAGATCCTGGCATCACTAGTGTACGGGGCAGCTGATTGTTGCACCGAGACAACTGGTCTTATCCGTGTCTATGAACAAAAGGAAGTTTGAAAGAAGCCTATGGACCTGACACAACACCACCACCGCTTTACACACCACATTACAACACCCCACACACCATATTACAGCGCTCTCCAAGACACATTACTGCGTTCCACATATCACATTACAGCACTCTACACACCACATTACAACACTCCACATACCACATCACAACTCTCCACACACCACATGACAACGCTCTACGCACCACATTACAACTATCTACACATCACATTACAGCATTCAACACACCTCATCACAACTCTCCACACACAACATTACAGCACTCTACACACCACATCACAACTCTCCACACACGACATCACAACTCTCCACACACAACATTACAGCACTCTACACACCACATCACAACTCTCCACACACCACATCACAACTCTCCACACACAACATTACAGCACTCTACACACCACATTACAGCACTCTACACACCTCATCACACATCTCCACACACCACATCACAACTCTCCACACACAACATAAGAGCACTCTACACACCACATTACAGCACTCTACACACCTCGAGTTCATCACAACTCTCCACACACCACATCACAACTCTCTACACACCACATCACAACTCTCCACACACCAGATTACAAGACTCTACTCTACAGCACTCCACACGCTACTCTACAACACTCCACACACCGCATTTAAGCACTCAACACATCACACAACACCACTCTACAGACTGAACAATAAAAAGCAGCTCACCAACACAATGCCAAAGGCTATCAGTTATGAATCTACCTTGTGCGGCTTTCCTGTGCTTCTTGGGGAAGAAAAGACCACCAAAGACAACCCCGTTAAGCAGGATGCTGGCCGTGATTAGGATCATGCCTCTCCACCCGTATGTGTTACTAAGGTGATGTAGGCCGGCAGACAGAGCAGCACCACCAATTCCAGATCCAGAGGATGAAACACAGTTGGCCAGGCTTCTTCGCTGTTTCATATGTTGGTTGACAATTACTTTAGAAGGTACTGACACAAGTGCAAAGGCAATTCCTAAAAATAGAAGATCGGGATGTGCCATTTTACCGACTAAACTGGATACTATATTCGCGGAACTGTTTGTAAAGGTCAAGAGATCAAGGTGGAATATGTGCATCAGTTTACATTACTTACAAGCTCAAATCCCAAGTTCAAAAGGAAATTTTCTAACGATCTGGTTTTATACCTTTAAACACAAGAATGATGGCATTCAATATGACATATTTTCTGTAGTGCAAAGTGAATTAATTACGTGTTAGTGAAAGCCTTTCCGAATAATATAAAACACTTTTAAGGCGATTTTGGTAACTGCGAAACATTGTTTACTTGTTTATATATGCCATACTAACATCATAAGATTGTTAATACCAATGAATGTTCATGTACTCTTGGCTCACCGAAAACAACACCGTATGTAAAATACAGAACTGATATGCTTGAAGCAAACGAGCTGGTGATCAAACCAAACGCTGCAATTGCTGCGCCACATATGGTAACAGTACGACAGCCGTATTTGTCTGTAAGAATGCCAGCAGCTGGACCTGAAATAAATTACATATGCGTTTTATAGAATTGTTTTATAGCTACTCTCCAAGGACAGAAATGCATCGGTGAATTTTCACATAGGTTCAAAATAGGATAACCAAATCAGTACGCTGCTCGTGCCATCACAAATGCACAAAAAGAGCGCCTGACTGTCAATCATCATACACAAGCCAATAAGAGCTTATGGAGCCCACTCGCCCTGCAATGAAGTGCATTTGAGATGGCGGTTGAATTTGACCTACTTATCTGTGGGGGGCCACCGAACAAATTGAATGTTCTGTGCTGTTCGTCCAATGGAGAACTGTAATGTTCTCGTTTTTAGATTGTCAACAGTGGCATGAACATGAAGAGGCATTTTGTTTGTACAATGTTACAATATAACACCTTTTCTGAAAAAGAATACTTGAAATTGTCTCTCCCATTCCACCGGTGCATTTCTATTTTGGTAGAGTATAGCATGGAAAAGGGAAAATACACACACACACACACACACACACACACACACACACACACACACACACACACACACACACACACACACACACACACACACACACATATATATATATATATATCCCCACACTAAGAAACTGTGTGTGAATGGCTTAGGACATGATGGATTTCGTGACAAGTGAAAATTCTGTCGAAATCCAAATAGAAGTGGGAAACCTACACCGTATCAATTGAGTTGGCATTGTTGCACTCTCATTGTACCTGAACTTTGCCTTTATGTTGCTGACAAACTCAGCGAGTTGACCAATTCTAGGGAACGGTCATAGAACGTCTGGAATCATGCCTTTCGTTAAAAAACACCGTTTGCAATGCAATACAATCGTTGGTTTGTTGTTTAACGCCACACTCAGCAATATTCCAGCTATATGACGGCGGTCGGTTAATACTCGAGTCTGGGCCCGACAATTCAGTGATTAACATTATGGGCATCGATCTACACAAACGGGAAACGATGACATGCATTAACCAAGTCAGCTAGCCTGACCACCCGATCCCTTTAGTCGCCTCTTACGACAAGTATAGTCGCCTCTTACGGCAAGCATGGGTTGCTGAAGACCTATTCTCTACTCGGATCTTCACGGGTCGACGGTTTTGATTACCGACATGGGTACAGTATGTGAAGCCCATTTCGGATGTCCCCCGCCGTGGCATTGCTGGAATATTCGCGTAAAACCATACTCACTCACGGGTCGAAAATACAAATTTGTCACTGAGATGAGAAAACTGCAGAAAAGCAAAGCGTTAATAAGGGTATGAAGGTACCACATCATCTGACAAATTGTTCATAATGGACTTAACCAAGCTAACCACAATCACACACATCCTCCTCAACTATGTATGAAGACAAACCTGACACACTCTGGACTCCAAACACTATTGATCCAACCCATGCTGTCTCCCCTCGTCCTGTGTTGAAGTAGTCGACGAGTTCCGCGAAGATAACACCAAATGACAAGGCGAGGCCATGGAAAATAGCATGAATACCAAAAGAAGAAAACACTACAACCCAACCATCTACACCATCGTGTCCGGCATCATTGTCTACATTGACTTGTTCAACTTCATCAGCTCCATCTTGCTTATGTTGTGATAGGCTTGAGTCTTCTGTGATTCCTGCATCTTCTTGTGGCATGGTAACCTATAATTGGATGTTTACGTTCCACAATATACACGAACAAATGTGCACAGCTGGGATTTGAAATTGTCACAATGGTTTTACCCCATGCTCAAACTATTGTTCTGTACACGTGTCACGTACGTATTGTACAGTGATTCTGTATTCATGAGTCACACTAAACACGTGATATCTATCAGTGATAAATATTTTATAACTGGAAATGTGTAGAATAAAGGTTTTATTAATATCGGTTTTCAATATCCAATATATGTGTTCCAATACACATTTCAATGAAATATGTAGGATCATATATATACATAGATGGCGAGTATTAATATTAGATATTAAAGGGGCACTGATCTAAAGCAATTCCACGGGACTGGTTGTTGCCTATGATATTGTTTTTTCCCAGTGAGTACCCAGATGATACAGCAGAAATCTAATCTAGTTCGCGACCTGTCCTGCGCCATTCGTAAGCGCATTTGTCGCCTTTATTGATAGTGTAAGGACGTATAGTCACATTGATCAACAAACTGAAATACTGTTTATAATTAGTCTTGAAAATAATAACCACATGTAGGTATCTTTACATAGATAATAGTGACGATGTTTTGACAAGTCACCAGCTTGACATGGTATTGTGCGATTTTCATTTACACTATTTGGACTTGTAACACAAAGAAAATATTTTACCTGAGCATTGCTTTTTTTATCGTGTGTATATTTTATAGTCAAAATGTGTAACATTTTCACTTAGGCAACTAATCAAACGCCTAAATATTCAGTTATTTTACAAATTGACCAAACAAATCTGTCCATTTCTGCTTTTATGATAACGAATTCCAAACATTTTTATGCTTTACTTTCATCACCCAGTGACTGAAAATGATAGTTAGTCTCTTGTGATGTTTTAAGCCCCTTTGAACCTCTTAATAGTTGTTAAACAATCTGTTAAATAAATGGACAGATGTTTCAGTCAATTTGTAAAATACTGAAATATTGAGACATTTTATGAAATCACATTTCCACATTGACTGTAACATATACAAGCCTACAAACGAAGAGGCTTGTGAAAACAACGTCTGTCTCCCATGGAAGAACTTCCCAACGAAAACGTAGAGGAACATGAATGGTTCTATTCAATGCAACAGCAAATGAATGAAAACCAAATGCAAATAGCATAACTACAACCTACCAAAGCTATATGTATAAATTTAGGCAGCTACCTTGTTCGAGGATTGTATCCTTGAATTTCCACATAAAGGAACAATATCCCATATGTCTGCAGCTACATATACATGTATATGGCTTTACGGGATATTATAACCCGTGTTCGTTTCTCAACTGATCTATTAGTTTGTTTGAGGTGTTTCACATAGGTGTCAAGTCTCAAAGGTCAGATGAGACAGCCCACGTGACAACTATTTTCCACGGTTCTTAAAAAACACATAGAGTTAGATAACAATGAACAATCATTCAACGTTTTATCGGCTAATCCTTTGAACAAAGTATGGTGTTTTAACATCGGCACTTCACGCCCAGATATGGGGTTATTCCGTCTGCTTTAGTAAACCTAGACATGTGAACACTTATTGTTGACACATCCACTGTGCAAAATAATAGTGATTATTCAATCAACGTATTTTCTGCTGATCCTTTGATGGGGAGGTTGATTTACTGAAAAAAATAAATCAGCTCCTCTTGCTGGGCTGCCAAGTGCATATTACATAATATACATTTCACCTCACTTCAAACCGGGATTCAGATTAAATAATTACCCCAGACACTGCCAAATGGGAACCTCTGTCTGGTAATCTGAGTGGTGCTACCACTTATTGTACCTTTAATAAATTCATTAGCTGAGGTTCAAGTGAATGACAACAAATACTCAGGTGTAGGGTTACACCAGGAAACACGCATGAGACAACAAGGGAGTAGCAATCGTATTATCCACGCAATCCGAAATCTGAAAATGTTTTCACATCAGGGATACGTTTTATTATTATTAAACTATAACCATTAGGGGTATTTCCAAATAAGAATATTCGATGAGCTGCCACCGTTCGTTTTGTCTGTTTGTTTCGGCTCAAGAAACGAATTAACATGCGCCCTTTGTCGAAATCTTCATACATCACGGGTAACCAATCAGTGTTCAAAATGCGTACAAAAGATATTGCCTCGAAGATTATTTACGCTGTCCTTACAGACGGTAGCCCAGTCTCTTGTCACGCTCAGTTGCGTCAGCGAGCAAATCGACCCAGGGCAGCTAGTGAGCCCTAGCGGGCAGTGTCAGCCGAGAAGAAGCCAGAGATTAGTGCCCCTAGAAAGGTTAAAACAACGCATTGGTTTCTTCGCCGAGTTTGTTGAATGTATACCATTATCCACCATCTAACTTCTGACGTCAGTTTTCTAGACGCTAATACACAGGGGTGTTCTAAGTTCATTTTGGGACATCTCAAGTAAAAGGCTTATGAAGCTGAAACTTTCAACAGCTAATTCTTAATAATTGCTCACAGAATTGCGATCAAATTTTACACATGGATGGCAGAGTAGCCATGTTGATATTGACATGTTGGCATTATTTTGTCTGTATCTGTTTTATGGTGGTCATAAGCATCCCAGCGATGGTTTAACCAACCACCTTGTCCTTTTCCTTTTTGACCAAGTACGGACTTTACCATATTTAACTCGTTTCACTGCATCTTCGACATCACCTCTGATACCCCCAGGTAAATGATTCCAGTCATGGTTCTCTGTAAGGTCATCGCAATCGGGTCATATTGAAAATGTCACTTTCGCACATTCCTCAGCCATTGCTATGTGTATTATCATAGACTGTGCTACATAGTAAATGTTATATGTGGTATTCCCAGTAAAACATTTTGTATTTTGCTGTGCATTATGAAGGTGCTATATCTGCAAATCACCAGCTGGTGGAGGCGAATTTCATTCTCTTATTAAATGTTATAATAATATTATTATGTTGCATATTATCATCTATGACCTAACTTCTGCAAATATATACAACTTTTATGTTCACAGAAATTAAGGGTCTACATATATACACTTGCTATTTAATGCTGTAAACACAAGATAGTTCCCAAGCAGTTACCATACATGATTGGCTACGCCGATTCGACTTATTAGGAAGGATTGCACCGACCCTTCATTCAAGGGATTGCACCGATCAGAATGTAACCATTGCGCTGAACGATGCCACTGATTTCGTATATATACATAGTTTTTGTGTTGATGACTGAATAATCAGACTGTGAGGTTATTATTTTTACTTTTGTTAGCTGCGCAGTGTTGCGCATCGCTTGTTACGTTTATACCTCGATAAACACAAAACATTGAAATCAATTCCTAAATCGCTTAATTGGTATTAAACGTTCGACAGCCTCCGTGGTCTAGTGGTAGAGCGTCTGCCCGGAGAGCGGGAGGTTGTTGGTCCGGGTAATACCAAAAGGTATTAAAAGGTGGTACTTGTTGTTACCCTGCGTGGCGCTCGGCATTAAGGGGATAAAACAATGACTGGTCGGCTCGGAGTCACTATACTGTGTTTGAGTGGTATTCATGTTAAACTGCTATTGATTTGTAAATTGACATTTTGGCATGTTCATAGTTTTTTTTATGAAATCACGCATTTCCTGAGGTCAGTATGGCAAATAAAACCATTTGAATACTTACAGGAGTCTTTTATCTAATGCAAACCGAAATTGTTGGCATTAAGTCTTATTCAATGTCACTTTTGTTGTTCAGTATATATAAAAACGCTCTATGCAGGTGTACATACTTTCGTATTCATAACATCGGACAAATCAGAAAGAACATCTACATCGAATGTGATGCTGCAAAATTGCTTTGGTTGTCTTAAGATCGGAAAATCCCTCCCGCCAAAGAAACATCTGGATAGATTATATCGTGTCCAGAATACAGTTGCCCATATTCTAACAAGATCAACTAAGAGAAAATACATCGCAGTATATTGAGTAGTCGACACCTATCCAATTAAGAGAGCAGTTTATAATCCTGGCTCTAGTGAGTGAGTGAGTGAGTGAGTATGGTTTTACGCTGCTTTTAGCAATATTCCAGCAATATCAAGGCGGGGGACACCAGAAATGGGCTTTACACATTGTACCCATGTCGGGAATCGAACCCGGGTCTTCGGCGTGACGAGCGAACGCTTTAACCACTAGGCTACCCGACCGCCCCTCCTGGCTCTAAATTACATGCATGGTCTGTCATTCTTCCAGGAAGTCGTAACATACTACAAGCCCACACGCTCATTTTGATCCGAAGATCAACAATAACAATATTTATTTTGTTAATCTGCCGATGGTTCAAAAGTCAGGTGCAAACACAAATGGTGACTGGTCATTCTTACATGGACCAACCTCCCATCATAATTCAGACTATCACAACTTTTCAGAAGCATTAGAAACCTTTCTGTTCAAGCAACCTTTGACTAGAGCCACGTGGTGGCACGTGGTCCTGTGCACAGCGCACAGATCACAAATCAGGTGAAGTTAAGCAACGTCAGTCTCGGATAGTTGTTGGATGGGTGACCACGTGAAGCATCTTGACTCCTGAGAGTTTCTAGGGCTTCGGTTCTGCCCCACACTGAAGCACATGTACCACATGTGGTGTCTCCTTCAGCAAATTACTTTGTTCGAAATGTGCCTCTGTTCACCCAGCAGTGAGTGGGTACCCGGTAGGATGAGATGGTAATGTGGCTGTTAACCTTCTAGAGACTCACAGGTAGCTTGTATACTCCTCAGGGTGATGAGAATGAAAATCGAGTGCTCACTGATCCATTGACCGGGGTAATAATAGGGTAGCGCTATGAGCATCCACTTGGTGAATGGAATCTGGTGCATTATAAATGCACTAGATACAATTGTTATTATTATTATCATTATTATTTTTATTTTTATTTTTATTAGTAGTATTAGTATTATCATTATTATGTCAGCAGTTGTGAAATTATCAATATCAATTTAGTTTTATTTAACAAAGGAAACACAAACCAAGACGATGCAGTACCACCACATACACTCTTCAGCCAGCTTAAGCTG